GCCAATTCCTGAGATTCCTATTATCAAAAAGCAAAGAAGCAGTTCGTTCCTTTAGGAACGTTGTGATAAATTTAAAAAGAAATTAATCAAACGGAAATTTCTCCTATTAAAAGCTGAGTAACGTAATAATAGATGACATAATAGTAATAATACATGTCATGTGGTACCATCTTCAGGAGTTATAGCCATATTTTTATTCTCTTGTCCTTTGCCGGAAGTTGTTCTATTTGATTTTATGTGATTGTCATGAAGCAACTAAACTCTATTATTGGGGCGCCTGGATGGCTCAGTCGGTTGAGTGCCTTCGGCTCAGGTCGTGATCCTGGCATCCTGGGATCCAGCCTCATGTTGGGCTCCCTGCTCAGCAGGGAGTCAGCCTCTCCCTCCCACTGCTTTTGCTCTCTCTCTCTCTCTCTGTCAAATAAATAAAATCTCTTTTAAAAATTAAAAAATAAACTCTACTATTTCTTCTCTGTTGAAGTCACAGGTGCTTACGCCCTGGTGAATACCCAGGATACAAATTAACTAGTTATCTATATACCAGGTTGTGCGCTGGGTGCCAGGGCTGGAAAGTAGCAAGATGGTTGTTGCCCATCCCCAGGTCCTCTCCATCCCAGAGGGCTAGAGATGCCCAGACAAGGCCTGAATGTACTGCAGGTGCCACACGGGGGTCACACCACGGGGAAGGAAGGAGGGAGGGCTTCGCGGAGGAAGAGGTAGGCCAGAGATAGAGAGCAGTGGTGGGGAGGGGGCTATGAGCCTCTGGTCCCTTGGGGGTGGAGGCCAAGTCCTATCCGGAGCCCCCCCCCCAGCTTGCAGCACAGGCCTGATGTGCATCAGGGACTCCACGGACTCCCACTGAGTGGTCGACCCCTGCGGGGCTGGGTCAGTGTAGGGTGACGACTACACACCTGAGGGGCATAAGGAGGGTGGACCCGGAGAGGGAGGAGTTTGGAGTCTCTTCTCTCAGCGGTGGGGATCGATGGAAGGTTTTTGAGCCTTGCTCTTTGTAAGTAATAATGAAGAACAGGTAACAGTGAGCACGCGCCGTGCACCCAGCACGGCTCTGAGCACTTCGTCTTCATCCGTATTAACTCCCTGAAGTAGGACAGCAGTCCTGGGAGGGAGGTACTGTGATGATCATCCCCATTTTCCAGACGAGACCACTGAGGCACAGAGAGGCTGTCACTTGTGCCGGGTCACACAGCTGGGAAGTGGCACCCTGGGCATCTGAACTGAGGTTCGGATCTAGAGCTTTTACCCACTCTTATGTGCCTGTTGAATAACAATAACGGACTCACATATGATGTGGGTGCATGTGAAGTGACCCCTGAGGACTTTACGGATCCCAGCCGGTCACAAACCCCCAAGGCAGGAACTGACGGAGCCCAGGCTTAGAAACCACGTGAAAATAGCTCGGAGGGTGTGGCCAAGGAGTCACAGGCCTGCACATTTCACTCGGGACTGCCCTTCCTGCCTCAGACACGGCTCCAGGGTTCCTTGAAGATCCCCTGCCTTGGGCAAAGCCCCGGCGAGGGCCATCTGGGTGACTACTGCAGCGCTGCACATAGGATCACGTCCAGGTGTCATTGGGCCAGAGGCCTTTGTCGTCAGAAACATGGAAGCATTTCTAATATTTCTCATTTCTGCTCACCCAGGCCTTTGAGTTCCACTGGGTGGGGTTTCCAGAGCAGGGACCGTCACACCCGCCTCTGGTTCTCATCACCTTCTCTCTCTGCAGCCGGGGGCCTGGGGCCTGGGGCCTGGGGCTGAGCTGTGCTTCTCACTTCTCCATGCTTGGTCTCCACCTTCTTGTGGGCATCAGGCTCCGAGGGGCCGGGGGCGGAACAAGTGGATCAGGGCAGAGTGCCCCCAAAGCAGCTATGGTCTCCTTTCCCTAAAGCTCGTGGGGTCAGGAGTGGCACCCACACTGCAAACCAGGCAGTTAGAATGGGTGCAGGCCACCCAACCAGCTCGGTGCCTGGACTCCTTGAGGGCCCCACCAGAAGACCCCGCTCCCCCTTCCGCAGGACCCGGGTTCGAGGCCTGGCTCCGGTACTTCCTAGCCGTGTGGCTGGGGTTCTCGGAGACATTCACATCCTGGGCCTCTTGCGCTCCAGCCAGGTGGCCTGGGTGGCTTGGGAGGGGGGTATCAAGTCCCACCTCGTCCTTCATCCTCCCGCTTCTCATGGGGAAAGTAGAGGTGATGGTTCCTGTCCGGCAGCACGTCTTGGGGTCAGGAGGGATGCATTTTGTCAGGCAGCACAGACATTTCTGCCTGCCCAGCGCCCTCCCACTTCTCCTATGACATGGAAGTGATACCCTGCCAAGGCGGAGGCCCCAGGTGGTGTGGGGACCCACAAGACAGGGAATGGAAGGTCCCTTCGGGCTCTGGGTGGGTACAAATATAGGGCTGTCGCTGTTGTCGGAGTGGCACTCACTCACCGACTGGGGCCTCTGCGCTCCTCGCTGAGCCAGCCACGCCACTTCCACGTCCGAGATGGGTTCTGTTAGGAGGGGCACCTCATCTTTTGTGTGCTGAAAAATAAACAGCTCTCCATCTGACCGGCTGTCTGCTTGAGAGGTATGTGGGCTTCCTTCATCATCCATCCACAAACGGGCTGTGGCGGGACGGACGCATCACTGGCCTGGCCTGGAGGATGGTGAGGAGAGCTTCCTAGAAGGGGTGATCTCTGAAATGAGGCAGGAGGAGGAAGGAGCCGCTGCCTCTGCACTCAGGCAAGTTACTTGCCTGAGCCTCAGTTTCAGGCTCTGTAAAAGGGGCCCGATAATACTTACTCAGAGGGAAGGACGAGGAGGCTTAAATGGGATGATGGATGTAAGAAAACTGACAAATGCCTCATACCTCTTAGGTGTCTTGGAAGTAGCAGCTACTGTGCCAGGCTGGGAAGCTGTGTGGTGAATTGAACTTCTTTTTCAAGGGTCTTTTCCTTGGGTGGTTGACACCTGTTACTTAGTGTAACCGAGTGTCCCGATTTAGGAAAAAGTCCAGCTGTAACCCAGCGTGAAGTGAAGAAGCATTGGAGTCCTTTCTCTCTGTCTCCAGTGGGTAACGGGAAGGCCTTTACCCATGGGAAATGGGGCACAAGACCCAGAATGAAAATTCTTCCCATGTACCCCACCTCCCCCAGGGCTTATGCCTGTTAGATGGGTTTCCTTTGTCCTTGGACATTGCAAAACTAGATTGTGAAGGACTCAAGGGCACTGCCCCAGAGTAAATTTCACTTTCCCTCCACTGGTTCCATCATTGATTTTTAACTGTGTGTTGAGCACCTACAGCATGCGAGATGATGGAGATTCTCTGTGCAGACAGGGTCCCAGCCCTGGTAAAGCTCATAATGCTTGTGGGGTGGGGAAAGGGATCAACATAAACAAAATAACAACAGACTGCAGTAAGTACCATAAAGGGAGGGGCGCCTGGGTGGCTCAGTCAATTAAGTGTCCACCTTTGGCTCAGATCATGGTCCCGGGGTCCTAGGATAAAGCCCCATGTTGGGCTCCTTGCTCAGTGGAGCATCTGGTTCTTCTTCTCCCTCTGCCTGCTGCTCCCCCTGCTTGTGCACGCTCTCTCTCTCTCTCTCTCTCTCTCTCTCTCTGTCAAATAGATAAGTGAAATCTTTTTTTAAAAATGCCATAAGAGGAAAAATGGAGTGTATAACAGAAAATTTGAGGGGCTACTTAAAGCAGTCGGGACACTGGAGGACGTGGTGATTTAAGCTGAGTTCTGAAGCCGGAACTGGCCACGGGAGGAGTAGAGATGAGGAAAGAATGTTCCAGATAGAGGGGATAGCAGCTGTAAAGATCTTGAGGGAGGGGAGAAACTTGAGTATCTGAGGAACTGAGTGAAGGCCAGAGAAGTTGGGGCCTGAGTGAGTGGGGTGAGGAGCAGCATGAGAGGAGGGTCAGGGGTGGGCAGGAGCCATGGGTGGACGGGTAAAGGGACTGTCCTTGCAGAGTTTCAAGCAAGAGAATAGCAAGATCAGAATTTCTTTTTAAAGGTTCGGTCTGGGCGCTGAGAGGGCCAGAGCAGAAGCAGGAGGCCGCCAGGAGCTGTCGCTGTGACCCCAGGCAGCCACCTCACCCCTCTGAGCCAGTTCCTGCACACATGTGTGTGGCCGTGGGAACCAAATATGGGAATGAACAGACGTGCGCTGCAGGAAGCTGCAAATTGTATAAACGCAGGGGATTCCAGATCCCACTGGAAGTGGCGGGTCCTTTGGGAAACTTCTGGATTAGACTTCTCGGAGGTGGGGAGGCAGAGCGCTGGGTACCTGGAGTCCCCACCTGAGCGCCCCACATCTGAGACGGCCTGCTTTTCCAGCCCGGCTCCCAGCTGCTGGGGAGAGGGCACCTGCTTGACCCCCTTGCCCCTTGAGACTGAGGTGGAGGGATGGGTCACCTTCCTGGTGTTTGACTAGCCCTGAGCCTCCGGAATCTTCTGAAATGCTCTGCCTTAAAGAGGAAGGCTAAGAGGAAGGGGGAAATGAGACAGGAGACACCTGCTTTTTTTTTTTTTTAATCCCACCTCCCCCCCACCGCAATCTTTCTAGGGCGGATGGGGAGACTTACTTGAGGCACCTAAGGACCCCTGGAGCGGGGAGGGGAGGGGGACCTCTCTCTTGACAGGTGTGGTCCAAATTAGGGGCAGGAGCCTAATCCCCACCCCCGCTCTCTGGCAGCTCTCCCTGATGGGAGACTCGGGCTTCCCGGGAGGAGGGGCTGCCGCGGGGTGGGGGGGGCTCCACCCTCCCGGTCCCGGGCCTCCCCGCGGCCCATCAGGCCCCGCCCGAGGTGGCGCGTCGTGGGCCCGCCCCGGCCCGCCCGTCGCGGTGGCCTTGGTGGCCGCGGCCCGGGCGTCGGGGCGCAGCATGCGGAGCGGCGGCCGCCGGCGGGGGCTGGGGCCGGGGCTGGGGCCGGGGCCGGGGCCGCGGCCGCGGCTGCGGCTGCGGCTGCGGCTGGGGCGTCGCGTTGCATAAGGGATGCGGGGGAGGGGGCGGAGGGAGGCGGCCCCCTCCCGCCGCGGGCCGGTCCTGGGCCGGTCTCGGTGTCCCGGCCGGGGCGGGGCGCGCGGCGGCGCCGGGGCCGCTTCCCCCTTCTCCCCATTCGCCCGGGAGCCATGGAGGCGCTGAGGGAGTCCGTGCTGCACTTGGCTCTGCAGATGTCGACCTACAAGCGGGCCACGCTGGACGAGGAGGACCTGGTGGACTCGCTGTCGGAGGGCGAGGTGTACCCCAACGGCCTGCAGGTAGGGCCCGGCGGGCATGCGCGCTGCGGCGCCCCCATTCCCCCATCCCTCCCCCATCCGGGGAGGACCCCCCCCCCCCCCCCCCCCCCCCCCCGCTGCCCTGCTCTGGGCTCCGTGGGGCCCTAGCACCGCCGAGGTGCTCCCTCCGCCCCGGGGCCCTCCCCAGCCCTGGCTGTCCCCCAATCCCCTGCCACCTGCTAATGGGACTAGAGCCCCTTGGCAGAGCTGAAGCGCCCTACAGAACCGAACGGGACCGGTTACCTTTCCCATGCAAGGCAGCCCCTGAGTGCTGGGGGACTTGCCCAGGGTCACACAGTCCAATAATGGCAGAGTTTAAAACTGTCCCAGTTTTAGCGTGGAAAACTCTGTGTCCCGGGAAACCTCAGTTCTGGGCAAACCAGGATGGTTGGTTACCCGCTCTGGTGGGCGTGACCCCATTCTTCCCTTTGCCCCCAGTACCTGAATTTCCTGCCATCTTCTGCACCCCCCACCCTTTTCCCTGGCCCTCTGCAGCCTATTCATGAAACCCAATTCCTCCCCTCCCCAGGGTCTGTCCCTGGGTGGGACTCACACCCGCCACCGCCTCCCTACCTTGTGGCAGAGCAGTGAGCACAGCTGCTTCCTGCTCTTCTCTCCCTGCAGGGCTGAGCTGGGACAGTGTTGAATGGGACCTCAGCCCTGCTGGGGTTTGCACCCAGGCAGGTGGGGGGGAGGGAGTTGGAAGTGTCAGGGACCCCAGGGGGGCCCTTGAGCTGGCTCCTAAGAAACCAGCACAGAGAGAGGAGCAGGACATCTCAGTCCAGGAGGACTTCTGCCAAGATGACCAAGGGAGGCGTTGGGGAACGGGTTGGGGCCACCCGGTGAACTGACACCACATCACAACTCACCCAGAGGATAAGCTTAGGGTGCGTGGAAACTCAGGCTGCCAGGCCCAACCCTACTCAGGCATACCTCTTAGAAGCTGGAATAATAATACCAGTAAAGGAAAGCAGCACTGATGGAGTCCTTCCTCCGGGCCCAGGGACATCTGAACTCCCGACTCCAAGTGGTCTGCCCACTGGGATATGGCACCCTTACCCATCTCATCTCCCTTAACTTTCAGGACCACCCCCATGAGCTGTAAGGATTACTGTTCCCATGAGGAAACCTGGGGTCTGAATGGGGATACAACTCGCCTTAGGTCGCAGAGCTAGAAATCTGGGAGTGAGAGATCGACCCAGTCTGTCTAGAATGTCTTCCCTGGGACCCTTCTTGAGAGGCTAAATCCAGCAGGAAATTAGATTTCTGTGGCAGGCACTTTTCCCTTCGCAAATCAAAACAGAATCTAATCAGCAATCTTTTCAGTGTCATCTTGCACAGAAGATTCTAAATATATCAGCACAAAAGCATTTCAGAATTCACAACAAAATAATAGGCCATGTTGTCATCACCATACCATGACAGTAACCCACATGGGGATAGCCTTTTTCATGTCACTAAGTGTGTTCATCTGCCCTGGGGCTCTCAGCAGAGTGGAAGCAGCCCAGTCTCTGAAGCTGGGGTCCCCGGTGTGAATTCTGACTCTGCTTATGGTCTTGGGTGAGCTGGTTAATCACTAAAAGCACAGTTCTTTCATCTCTAAAATGGGAGTTAGAAAAAGTAACTGTAGTGCCTCTTATGGGGCCTGCTAGGATTATTGTTTTTATGACCAATGAGGTAAGGGCCCCGTGGCTATGTTACAGATGGATGAAGCTGAGTCTCAGCTTGGTTAGGGATGTTCCGGTGGTCACGGCTGTCATGTATTTTGGAGCGCAGTGTTGCTGTTTCTACACCAATCTGCCAAACTGGGTACATTGTCCACTTTTTATACAGGCAAAGCCAAAAAGGTTGCCCCAAGGACTTGGGGGCATTTCTCTGGGTACCCAATCTGACTTCCCTTGAGCCTCCGTGACTTCCCCAAAGCAAGTGTGAACTTTGACTCTAGAACTTGTTCACCTTATTAAGAAGCAGAGTTTTCTATTAATTCTGTTTTATTTTTGTTTGTTTGTTTGTTTTTTGTTTTTGTTTGTTTGTTTGTTTTTTGGTGCCGAAACCTGGGAACGAATTAATTCTGTTTTAAATCATGGGAGTGTTTTTCCTCCCAGTATAAAAATGTTACATGCTTATTTGTGGGGGAAGAAAAAGAGTCAAGCATAAAAAAAAAAAAAAAAAAGACTTAAAAAGAAACTGTAATCCCACCACTTGGAGATAACTCCTTCTGGTTTTCCACATTTGCACATGTATATTTATAAACATAATTGAGCTCACTCTTAAGTACATGATGTTGTGCTGCGCTTTTTTTCATTTAATGCCACTTCATGAGCATTTTTCTTGTTGTTTAAAAACTCCCCAAACATGCTGCCATTAAAAATTATAATGCCACGGGGTGCCTGGCTGCCTCAGTCAGTAGAGCATGTGACTCCTGATCTTGGGGTCGTGAGTTTGAGCCCCATGTTGGCCATAGAGGTTCCCTAAATAAATGAATGTAAAAAAGTGATAGTGCTTCACAGTACCAGTGTATAAAAATATATGTACTCAGTATGCTAAGGTTGGACAATAGGCCCAGTAACTAAAATTGTAGGTAACCATCGTTTAGCATTTGGATAATTTCCTATAGGCTGATGCTAGAAATGCAACTGCTCCTTCAAATTTAAGATTTTTAAAGTGGCCCCTCAATCCCCTCCCCCAGATCTCCCTCTTTTACAGGCAACTATAAAAATAAGCTACTTGATTTTTCATGATTTTGAAGCCCACTGGTTCTGGAACTCCAAAGTTAATCAATCATACCAATACCAGTAAATGAAAACCTCCATCTCTCCAAATTTGCCAGCTTCATTATCAAATAATGCTGAGCAGGTACCACATTTAGCTGGAGCCACACTCTACGGGTGCTGCACCTTAAAGGCTTTTTCTTTGCCTTTTTCTCAGATTTAGGCCCAAGTTAATTGTGATCCACTAAAATTAGTCACTACAGACCGACCGCCAGATTTAAAGCCAGATAACCCCAAGGCCTCAGCCTGGCCTCTGATGGCCTGTGAAACCTGAAAGCAGATCACGTAAACAGCTTTTTTTGTTGTTGTTAAATGGGGATAATATTATTAATCAACAATTGTTGCAAAGATTGAAATGAGACTGTGTAAGTGAAAACATTGTGCATGGTGCACAGAAAATGGATTTCGTTGCTGTTGGGATTATTACTGTGACTCACCAGGCGGGAGGTCTCAGCAATGCCCTAAATATAACCGCTTTGTGCTCCGGAGCCTCTGCTCTGCTCACACCAGCTGCCTGCACCCCCCCCCCCCAACATCCCCCAGCACACACCATTTCAGTGGCTCAGAGGGAATCAGCTAAGGTGATACCTGCAGCCCAAGCTGGGGAGCAGGCGGCCATGACTGCTACCAAAGCCTTTGAGACTCATCCTGTTGCTTGTAAAAATGAGCTTCTTCAAGAGAAGGGAAAGCTGGGATATTTCATCTTAGTGGTGTTTTTTTCCTCATCCCCTCCCCCTTTGCCACACACAGGGGTGTCCTTCAAGAGTGATTTCAGGGACGTGACCACTTAGTACTTTAAGAAGACCTCTGTGCTCACCAGGAGGCTGTTTGGGCTACTCCACCTGTTTGAGCCTTGTACTCCTGGCTTTTGAATTCTTCTAGAATCTGAGATGGTCAGACCTGGGACCTTATCTAGCTTCCTCATTTTAAAGATAAGAGACTGAGGTCCAGAAGTGGCCCAGCGAGACACATACGGTGGCTTGATAAAGTCAAGGCTGATCTTTGACCTCCTTTTTCCCATGCCATGGGCAGCTGGGTGTTCCTCCTGGGAAACAAAGAGAGCTGGAAAGTACTTCTTCTAAATACTAGACTGGTTTCTGTGTGGATGGAAGGAGTTCCTCTCCCACAGCAGGTACTATTTAATGGCTGTTGTTGGTCATTGGAAGAGAGGCAGGCTTGGGGGCCAGGGGACAGGTAGGCCTCAGGGAAGAGGTGGTGAGGACAAGACATTATAGTATTGCTCAGCTGGGAGTCCACTGTGTAAAATCTTTACTGGGGGCACCTGGTTGGCTCAGATAGTTAAGCATCTGCCTATGACTCAAGTCATGATGCCAGGGTGCCAGGATTGAGTCCCACATCGGGTTCCCAGCTCAGCAGGGTATCTGCTTCTCCTTCTACCCATCCCCACTAGTTTGTGATCTGTCTCTCTTTCTCACACTCTCCCTCTCAAATAAATAAATAAATAATCTTTTTTTTTTCCTGGAAAAAGTGCCCCCAACCTAACCCCTTCATGATGGCAGGGTCCTGCACTAGGCTGAGCTGTCATGGTCTATCTGCTCTGAGAGGCTGACTTGAAGCAGCAGCCTGGTCTCCCTGCCAGCCCTCATGGGGTGGCTGGGCTCTTGGGCTGCAGGGGGTGGGCTCCCTGCCAAACCCTTGGCCAGACTGACTCCTGTTTGCCTCTCTACACAGCCCAGGTCGCTGGGGGACCTGGCAGTGGCTCAACCAGAACCTCTGCCTCTCCTCCCAGCCCCCTGCTTCCTCTGAAAACCAGGCTTTGCCCCACTCCCCACCAGGCTTATCTCCTGGGCCTCAGGTAGCTGTGTCCCATGTCCCGTCCTTGCCTGCAGAACTCGTTCTTGCTGTAAGCCTAGGTGAGCCAAGCACTCACTTCTGTAACCGAATATTTATCCCTCGTTAGGGCTTTGTTCCCTTGGCTCTGGAAGCCCTGGGAACCCCTAGGCTGGACAGCTCAACTGTTTCTCTGTCCCTGTCTCTGTTTCTCTCTCTTTGGCTCTATGTCTTGCCTCCTCTGTTCCCTCTCCACCTCCCTCTTTTGAGGGCATCCTTTCCCTTTGGTCTCGTTCTCTCTCTGCCTCACATGACAATAAATGGGATATTAAGCCCACCCATGAGCTGAGCATTTACAGTAATTCTCAGCTCCATCTCCCAAGCGTGAGCTCTGCTCCTTGGCTGATGGCCACTCCCAGTTACCTCTCCCGAGACAGGCAGAGTGGGCTGCCTGCCACTAATCCTCCCACCCTCGGAGCCGCTGTAGACCAGTCTCTGGTGATCAACATGCCCTCGTTTCCAAAAGGAAAGTGAGAAGCCACTTGTGTCCTGCCCTTGCTGTGACCTCATCTTGCTGGATGCTCTGAAGGAGGCAGGGCAGGGACTGCGGGGCTCAGAGAGAAATGCCTGGCGGCCTGGGCCTGTCCACTGCACCAGGAATTGGTTGGCTTCTACCAGAGAGGCTCTGGGGGTCTTCTCCGGCCACAGGGGGATGCCTTTGGATTCCTCTGCCCTCACAGAGGAGGCTTGTCAAAATACCAGCAGGCCCTCAGCCAGTCCCTACGAGCTGAGCAAAGAACATTACAAAGGTTAAAAACCCTTTTTTCAAATTCTGTTTGCCATTTCTTCCAGGAACTGAATTTCTAATTTAATTCGGACTTAATTCTGATTCCCTTTTGCAGTGAACACCATCTGTTTGCTTGACACTAAACAATGAGGCTCAGCTTGACTTTCTGCTCCTCGGGGGCAACACAGCCTTTGGGCCGAGGCTGCGGGTTCTGGAGAGACATGGGTTTTCTCACTGTTCTCCCTCCTCCCCCACTTCCTGTGTTTCTTCTGGAGCTGATACTGGGACCTGCTCTGCAGGCCCTCGTGAAGACAGAGTACCATCATCCAGCAACAAGATGGAGTTAACGCAGCACCACGCACATAGAAAGCACTCGAGTGTTAGCTACCTTTATGCCTCCTCTTCCTGCCCTCTGTTCCTTTCATCTTCTCCCTTCTGCTCCCCTTTCCCTCCCTTTCACCTGATTCCCTGTACCCGGGTGGTGCTCCCGCGGCAGATGCAAAAGGTGAGGTGTGCCTGCCTTCCCAGGCCTGACAGCTGTGCTCCCTGGCTTCTGAGAGCCAACACCAGGTGGAGGGTACCCCATAAACCAAGGTCCCGCTCCCTGCCTCTTTGCCTGTCACCCCCTCTCCCCCGGCGCTGGGTCATGATACGGGGACATGAGGGCCCTCGGGAGGAGGCAGCCGGTGAGACAGGCCAGGGGCAGGGTGGCAGGAAGAATGTATTGTCAGTGCCTGTCTCACATCCTCTGGGATGCCTCTGAATAGCAGTTCCCAAGGGGAATTGTGGGAGAGATGGATGCTGAGGAAGAAGCGCTTTAGAAACCTTCCGGGGCTGGGAACATGCTCGCGCCGCCCCAGGTGGACTCTGCACCAGGCCCTCCCGGCCCAGAGTTTTAACTTCCCAACAGTAGCATGGGCAGAAGCTTCGTTGCTCACTTTTTGTTTGTTTGTTTGTTTTTCCTATTTCTCACATTTTTTAAACTGTTCTTCGGAAAGGGGTTTGGGTCAGTGGCAACCTTTCTTCTACCTGACACAGCTGTCCAGGTATCGGAGCCCCCTGGCCCTCCTCGGAAATATGACTAGGCCCCAAGTTCCTTTTGTTGGTTTTAGAACATGATTTTTTTTTTCCACAAAACGTTCTCATGTTCCCCTTTCTCTGGTGTGGCAGTTCCCAGTCATTTCCGGCCCAGAAAGTACGTGGTGAGGACCACGAGGCTGCAGGGTGCCCTTCCCTAAAGGGACCGACCTCAGATCCCCAAGTGCCAGCGTGAGACTCCCTGAGGGCTGCAACCTGGCTCCCAGGGACAGCCACCCCTCAGCTTTGGGTGGGGGGCACTTGCTGGTCAGAGGCTGAGCTTCCTCATCTCCCCTGGTGACTCCCCGCTGCCCGACCCCCTGGGTCACCCTGCCTGCATGCCCACACCCCCACGGGGTCCCTTAGGATCTAGCCTCACCTCACCTCCCCTCCCCTCCCCTTCCCTTCCCCGTTCACCTGGCCAGCTCCTGCTTATGCCTCGAGACCCAGCGCAGGCCTCCCCAGCTCCAGGAAGCCTTCCCTGACTGCTGGGCTGTGAGCAGCTGAAACCAGGGAGTCAGCCTTCCTCTCAGCATTCCCAACATGACCCTGACATGACTGCGATGTCACTGAGCCGAGCCCCACCTTCAGGGGACCCCTCCTGCCCTGCGGCCCCAGCTTTTGCAGGAAGCACCTCTTGCCATGGAGGCGAGCCCGGAGCTGGCCTCGGGTGTGGAGGCCTGGGCTGAGGGCTCTGAGTGCCGTTGGCCAGTGTGTCCCTCCTCGGCCTGGAGGGCCCTGCCACGCCCTCCACTTCCTCTCATTGTGCCTCCCTTCCTGTTTAGCTAGACTGTTAGGCTGGGGACATTTTTCCTCCCTTTGAGGACCTGCCTGAATGGAGGGCTCGCTCCACTGCATCCCCCCTGGCATCTCCCAGACCCAAGTCTCTGATCCCCTGCTGGGCTCCAGGATCGACAGACTTGGGTTCAAATCTCAGCTCTCCCATTTAGCTGTGTGACAAGGGGCAGGGGCCTCACCCGTGAACTCGTTTCCTTATCTGTAGAGAGAACCAGTAACACAGCCCTCTCAGGACTGGCAGGGGTAATGAGCAAAGGATGTCCGCACGCCTGGGAAGCGTGAGCTGTGGCTGTGTCATCCCGGCCCGCCGGTGTGGGGGCTCCGAGAAGAGCCCAGCTGGACGCTCACTGGATGCCTGCAAGCCCAAACATCCTGTTCTTTTTTGAACTCCTTACTGGAGAAACAGGGAAAAGCTGTTCCTTTTTTTTTCCTTCTACCCATATTGGGTAACACAAAAAACACAAGTCCGGCTGGGTTGAGCTGCTTGAGTCTGGTGTTTAGGAGCTAATCCGAGCTGCTGAGCAGGGTGGCGGTTCCTTTCCTGGATTAGGACCGATCTGTGGGAACCAGACCACCCCTGAGGCAGGAGGGCGGCCCTGATGGCTCCCCGGGGCCTGGGCCTGCCGCGGAGCCCCTTGCTCCTGGGGAAGGGGGGCCCTGGGCTCACGTCATCCCCGCCCCTCCTGCCTCCTTCCCCGCAGGTGAACTTCCGCAGCCCCCGGAGTGGCCAGAGGTGCTGGGCTGCGCGGACGCCGGTGGAGAAGCGGCTGGTGGTGCTGGTGGCACTTCTGACGGCAGGACTGGTGGCCTGCTTGGCGGCGCTGGGCGTTCAATACCGGACAAGTAGGTGCCTCTGGGTTTCATCGCGGGCTTGACTCACCCCTGCCCTCGGCTCTGTCCATCTGTGCCAGAGGGCTTCCCTGATCGAGCTGGGACTGGCCTCCCGGGCCAAGGAGAGAGCCAGGTCCAGATGGCCCGGTGCTGAGATGGACAGAGCCATAGGAGGCCAGCGTGGGTGGTGTAGAGGGTTTGGACATGAGTCCAAACAAACACTGGCCCAGCAATGTATTGTCTGTGTGACCTTGGACAAGTCACTTAATCTCCCAGAGCCTGTGTCTTCTCTACTGTGAATGGGGAAGATGGTGCCCCCTTTGGGGCTGGCTCTGAGGATTAGAGACAATGTCTGTCACATATCTGGTGCCTACCAGGACTTCTTTAATTAGCTCTGGGTGCTGTTATTGTTAGGACGTGAGCTGATGAGACACACAGTCTGGCACTGTCTGCCATCAATCGTAGCTTCTGTTTACTTCATACTTTCCATGGACCAAATACTACACCTCTTCTTTACAAACATAATCTCATTTCCTCCTCACAGCAACCCTATGAAGTGTGGTTACTTTGGGCCCCATTTTACATCTGAGGAAGCTGAGGCCGGGAGACTAGGTGACTTGCTCAAGGTTACGTGGCTGGTGCACAAGGGAAGGGACAACTGGATTTCAATGCAGGCTGGCAGGCCCCACCTGCCTTTGTAGTTGTGGTGTACCCCAGTGTGTGTTAGGATCCCTAGAAGAGCTGGCCGCTGGGGGCCGCATCTGTATGCGTTGTAACCACATTTCTGTGTCCTGCCTCGTTGAGCAGTAAGATGGGACCCATCTGGTCCTGCCGCCGGGGGTCTGAGGCTGGCTCTCTGTGTCTGGCTAGAGTATGCAGCTGAGTACCTCGTGTAGAGTTGATGTTCAGTAGGCACTTGTGGAACTGGGAAGGGCAGAGCCAAGCTAAACAAGGATGGGGAGTCCAGCCAATTCCAAGATCTCTCACATTCTTGTGCCCCAACATTGCCTTTCCAATGGCAGGTGGCCCATCTGGTGGAGCAGCCCTGGGGCGTTTGCTCAGGGTCCAACCCCACTGACCTGGTCACCTGGCCACTCATCCCATCAGAGAGATTATGACCCTTTCCGGGATCTGGGAACATTCACCCCAGGCTGCACTGAGCCTTCCCCATTGTAAAGTTGCGGGCCTGCGGGTAGTCATGCTAGACCAGGAGGGGGAAGGAGTTTGAGGGCCTGGAGAGAGGGCAGGGCCTCACCTCAGTCACCCTTACATCCCCCGTGTCAGGCAGCCCAGCAGCCAGTGTTGCCCTGAGACTGCCACAGGAGATCCCACAAACTAGAAGGGAGCTCCCGAGGGCTGGATCCTAGTGCTCGGGCCCACAGGTGGGCCGACAGGGAGCAGTCTTGCTTCGGCCTCTATCTCAGCCCCCTCTGGGGTGCAGGAGGGGTTTCCTCAGCCTAGACTGGGATGAAAGGACCGCTCCCCGCTGGGTGACTCTGGGCCAGGGATCTGCTGAGCCCTGAGCCAACCATGTGTCTTCATTGGCTGTCTAGGCCTGGGAAAGCAGTGGCCACCCCAGAAATTGCCAGTTACCTCATGACAGCCAGCAGTGCTGCCATTGGCCACACCTGAGCAAACATCAGGCTGGTCAAAGCACATTCTCCGATGATTCCAAAAGACCCATCTCAAAGTCATGTCTCAGCCCTTAAACATGTATTTATCTGCTTTCCCACTGCACCCCCTCTCCAGAAACTTGCAGGTGCTTTACAAACAGCGGCAGTAAAACACAGATTATCTCAGAAAATATTCTTAAGTGTCTTACTCAGTGTTGGGGCCCAGTACTGTCCAGACAAGTGTCTGAACTAGATCTGGGGCTGTTCCTTCCTCTTGGCTGGCCATGCACATCCTTAAAGGAAGAAATACTTTCTGCCTCTGCAGGTGGTGACCAAGTGCTGGACGAGGCTCATTTCATTCACTCACTCATTTGTTCTGCAAACACATATTGGACAGCTGCTAGGTGCCAAGGACAGTGCTGGACAGAGGAAATGGAAATGCAAGTAAGGTGCTGGTCCTGCCCTCGAGCTCCCGTTCCAGCCTGGAGGGAGACAGGGAGCCAGCCATGACACAGCCCGGTCTGTCCTCATAGAGCACACATCCAGGCAGCTAGCACGGAGCCCAGCGAGGAACGAGGGTCTGGGGAGGTTTCCCCAAAGAGTCTGAGCCTGGGCTGAGTTTTGAAACCACTGACCTTGATGTTAGATGAGGAGGGCCTGGAAACAATTAATTGATCAAATACGTGTTAAGCCCTTGCTGGGTGGGAATAGCTGGTAAAGGATCTACAAACCACTAAGCAGTTAAACAACCAGTTATTATTGAAGCACCACCTCCGGGCCTTGCCTAGCAAAGTGGAGGCTTTGTGTCTCAGCCAGACAGAGAGCCAGCCTCAGACCCCTGGTGACAGGACCGGACAGGCCCCATCCTACGGCTCAGTGAGGCAGGACACAGAAATGTGCTTACGGCGTGTACAGATGAGGCCCACGGAGGGGAGCTGGGCGGACCGCTAAGAGAACCGCTTAGTAGGTCTCCATCAGGCCCTCAGCAGAACTCCTGGAAACTGGCTTCTTGTTCTGTTTTTAAACCCAAGTCCCCTTTTGATAACCTCAAAAATCAATCAACCAAAATCCCTCCCTCTCTCCCCCTCTCACACACACGCACACACACCGGCACACCGATACGGACATGTCTTGTTCCCTGAGGATCACCCTCTTGCAGTCTTTCTTTGGGGCATTCCCAGCAGCCAAGGTTTCGTCAAGCCCAATTTCCTGCAGTTTGTTGTGTAAAAACAATAGGTATTCTTTTCCCTTCCCAAATATGAAGTTCTATCATAATAGTGAATAGACTTTTTTAAAGGGCACAGAAATTCTCTCCCCCCACCCAAGCCACACACACACACACACACACACACACACACACACACACACACCTGCCACCATAGATTCCAGTACATTCCACAGGTGAGGAGTGGGCCGTGCAGCTCGGCTTGAGACGGTCTCCTCTAGAGAGCTTCAGGGGCACCATATCCCTGCTAGTGCTTTTCTCTCTTTCATGCCTGCCAGCTCAGTATTTGTGATTGTTGTAAAGTCCGCTCCAAACAAGTGATCCCCTCAGAATAAAGTTACCTTGATTTTGTGGCGCCATGTGGCTCCTCTGAGCCTTTCATCAGCGTGCCAGACTTTGTGCCTGTCACCAGATGTTAAAAAGCCCACAGGCCACCCCAGCCCCGCTGTGCTGTGTTAACCGTGCATCCTTTCCTGCTTTCTGAAGGTTGGCCTGGGGACGGCAGGCCCAGCCACGAGGGCATCCATCATCATTGTGAAATTAGGCCCACCATGCTTCCTCGCCTCTAGATTGAGAAGCCCAGGCTTGAGGTCAGCTGCCCAAGGCCCACAGCCAGAATCAGAAAGCTGGGATTTGAACCCGGATCTAAGAGCCTCTGGCCTCTGCCCTGCCACACTCCTCTCTGTGCAGTAGGGATGCTGAACTTGCCAGAAGGGCCACACCCGCCCCTGATGTGTCCAGCAAAGACTCAGTGAGAATAAATAGAGGGAACCCGGCCTTAGAGTTGCCGTAGCAGGCCAGAGCTGGCTCAGCTTCCCTCGTGGCCATGTGGCTGAGCCCCGTTCATGCACACAGAGCCTCAGTCTCCCCACCTTTAACTAGGGCATCACACCTGTCTCTGATGTCTGCAGTGAGGCCTGAATGAGATCACAAATGTGTATCTGGTAGCCAGAATAGCCTGTGTCAGCTGAGGATCCGGCTGGGCCTGCGTCCTTAGTCACAAAGGCTGGATCTCCTGCCACCTTGGGCTGGGCCACTGCCAAGGCCGCCCAGTTTGGTTTCTTTGCTGGAGCCCACTGACCAACACTGAGGCAGGGGTTGGCCCCTCTTGCCACTGGTGTTTGAGGAGCCCTCCCCCGCTCTGCCCTAGATCCTATGAGAACTGGCTCAGAGGAAGCGGATTCGTGGGGGACACTTGTAGTATGTGGCAGCCCTCCCCACTGTTCACCTGCACTGACTACCATCCCTCCTTAGGGAGGCGCCTGACAGATGGGGCTGCCCTGGACCCACCTGGCATCACTGGGATAACACCCCTCCAGGCCGTGGGAGACAGAGAGGAGGAAGGATGGGGCTCCTACCCCACTGGCCATTGAACAAGCTACTTAGCTTCTCTGTGCCTCAGTTTCCTCGTATATAAAAACAGCCTTGAGCAAAATGGCCACTTTGGTTTGTTTCGTCTTCATTTCTTTCAGAGTCAGTGAGATAACTCTCCTGCCTTATTCTCAGCAGAAATGATTTTTCAATCTCTTCTGTACCTAATAGGCTGTCCTTTGCCCTAAGTCCTGGCACCAAATTGTCTGCATCACCCATTTGTCGTGGACTAAATATACTCAGTTTATGTTTGTAGAATGACCACCATTTCTCCTCCTCTTTTTGAACTTTTTTAAAATAAAATATCTGTATCCCCAGTGAAATTATTAGCTCTTGAAGGAAAGGATTATGACTTTTATATTCCTCACCCCCCCCACATACACACACACACACAATCAGCACTCAGTGAAGAACCTAGAAAATAGTAATTATTTTGTTGAATGAATGAACGCATGAACAAATGAATCAATTTGTTGAGCATCAGGGAATTAAAAAAAATCAATGAATATTTGTGAGTATTAATGTTCAGAGAAACACCTTGGTTCTAGGTGCTTTTCAAGCCACAGAAAGCATTTTAGGCAGCTAAACAGAAGTCTTATTTTACAAGCCAAGAAATTGTAAATCTACTGAAATCATTTCTCCGTAGAAGTCTCGCGACCATCCAGTTCTGTGTGGTCAGGGCTGGGGTGGGGGCATGGCACCCCAGGCCACCTGTGCTATATTCCCACAGACTTCTTCTCCCTGCCCATCACTGGCCTTTTGTCCTTGACCCCTGCCAGGAACCCCCCCAGTGTGCCTAAGTGAGGCCTGCGTCTCAGTGACCAGCTCCATCTTGAGTTCCATGGACCCCACGGTGGACCCCTGCCAGGACTTCTTCACCTATGCCTGTGGAGGCTGGATCAAAGCCAACCCCGTACCTGATGGCCACTCACGCTGGGGGACTTTCAGCAACCTCTGGGAGCACAACCAGGCCATCATCAAGCACCTCCTTGGTAAGTACCCAGCAGGGAGACCAGCAAATGGGCTGCAGAGGAGAGCGGCCAGCTGGACTTACCTGGCCAGGCCTGGTTAAAGGAAGAGCTTGATGCAATGGGCAGACCAGAGGCTTTGGAGTAAGTGAAGCCCAGTTAGAATGGCTGCTCCGTCAGCTGTTGTGTGGCCCTGAGTAAGTCACTTATATCTGAGCCTCAGTTTCTTTATCTATAAAAATGAGACTAGGGCAGCCCCAGTGGCGCATCGGTTTGGCGCCGCCTGCAGCCTGGGGTGTGATCCTGGAGACCCGGGATCAAGTCCCACATCTGGCTCCCTGCATGGAGCCTGCTTCTCCCTCTGCCTGTGTCTCTGCCTCTCTCTCTGTGTCTATGAATAAATAAATAAAATCTTTTTTAAAAAATGAGACTAATACACGGGGAGGAAGGAACAGCACAGGGAGTATAGTTAGTGGTGTTGTAATAGTGTTGGGTGGTGACAGGCGGTAGCCACACTTGTGGTAAGCATAGCACAGTGTATAGATCTGTCAAATCACAGTGTTACACGCTTGAAGCTAATATAACATGGTGCGTCAACTATATGTCAATTAAACATTTTTTTAATAAGACTAGTAATACCCAAACCTCAGAGTTTTGAGAACTATAGAGCACATTTGTAAAGCGTTCTCATGGTCCGTGTGACATGTGGTAGGTACACAAGAACTGGTAGCTGTGGTCCTTTTGTGGCTTCAAGCTGTGGCTTTGTTTTGACTGGCATTGGCGATGAGCTTTGAAAGCTGTGAGCCCGGGCACTTGAGTGGCTCAGTTGGTTAAGCATTTGCCTTCCATTCAGGTGGTGATCCTAGGATCCCAGGATCCTGAGGTCAAGCCCAACACTGGGCTCCCTGCTCAGCGGGGAGCCTGCTTTTCTCTCTCCCTATGCTGCTCCCCCTGCTTCTGCGCTCTCTCTCTCTCTCTCTCTCTCTCTCTCTCTCTCTCCCTCTCCCTCTCTGTCAAATAAATAAATAAAATCTTTTTTTTTTTTTAATTTATGATAGTCACACACAGAGAGAGAGAGAGAGAGAGGCAGAGACACAGGCAGAGGGAGAAGCAGGCTCCATGCACCGGGAGCCTGATGTGGGATTCGATCCTGGGTCTCCAGGATCACGCCCTGGGCCAAAGGCAGGCGCTAAACAGCTGCGCCACCCAGGGATCCCTAAATAAAATCTTTTTAAAAAAGAAAGTTGTGAGCCAAGGGATTCAAGGCTGAGCACACTTGATCAGATTTTAAGGTTGAGAGTGGATGAAGTTAACACAACAGTTTATGTGAGAGTTGTCCATTACAGGCAGGAACATCACTTGGCCTCGTGGCCTCACAGTGATTAGACTTGCATCATAAGCCATCAAACTAAAGTTCTCCTCTTTGCATCTGGTTAGGCCTTCGGCACCTCTGTTTGACCTTGGTATTGGTGGTTTCATCCTTAGATTAGAGCCCCATGTCTGTCTTATTTGCAGGGTTACCCCCACTTAATGTTTGTTGAACTAACACCTGCCCATTGGGGTCGTGTGTCACAGAATTCACAACACTGCCCCCCGCTAGCAACCCCCAGCAGCCCCCAGTAGCCTCCTCTGAAGCTCCCAGCAGCCCGTCCGTGGGCTTGTCTCCCTGAGGATCAGAGCCCCATGGTACACAGAGGCTGAAGGAACTCTGTAAGTCCAGAACAGCAGAGCCCCTGCCTTTGAAAGGGGACACAGCCTTTCATTTCAGAACAAGAAGCTTAACAGGCAGATATGTCTGTGGCAGCCAGACTAGAACTCAGGGATGTCCCTCCTCTATCACCTAAAGGGACCAACAACTAAAGCAGGAGGGTAGTCCAAGTAGGATAACAAGGTGGGCTAGAGCCTCTCCTTGGGTCACCTGGACCTGGGTTCAAACCCTGCCTTTGCCACTTCCTGGGTGGTCTCAGGTCAATGACATGACCCCTCAGGATGTCTTCTCTCATCAGTAGAATGGGAACCGGGCCTCCTTCAGGTGATGAAAATAAAATGGGAAAAAAGGTATTTAAGGTGTGTTGACAAGCTGTGTGACCTCATGCCTGGTGTGCACTGCTGGCTGCTATGTACACAAGTGTTATAGCTATTATTCCCCCTTGACCTTGGCACAGCACTTCACAGTTTACAGAGCTCTTTTTGTAGATGTCATCCTATTTGATCCTGTAGGGTAGGCGAAAGGAAGGTATCATTCATCCCATTTGAGATATGAGAAAACTGAGGTCCAAAGCCATCCTCAAGGCAGGCTAGCAGGTGGCACAGCTGAGACCTACTTGACTTCGGGCCCTGTGTCCTTTCCTCTGTCTCAACCACCTCCTTCAGACAGAAGGGGCAAGTATGGCTCCCCTCCCATCCTGCTGGCAGCATGGAGCTTTGGGGATCTGAAGGAAAGAGGGGAAGAAACTGATGTTTGTTGAGTGTCTGCTACTTGCCATGCTGTGTACCAGGCTCTTTATATCCGCTGCCTTCTTCATCCTCACAACCTCCCGGGGACTTAGGAACCATTGGTCCCATGTTGTAGATAAGGAAACAGGCTCAGAGAAGTTAAGTGACTTTGTTGAGGGTACACTACCAGTCCTGAATGCAGAGGGCCCCCAGCCCTGGGGAGCAGTTAGCATCGAGAGGAGAAGGAGAAGACAGGCAGACAGGCCCTCAAACTTTCCAGTTAGACCCAGGCCTGACCCTTGTGTGTGATGCCTGCAGGTCCTGCTCCTGCCAGTCCTTATCAGAAGGACCTTGGGTCTTTGCCAGGACTGAGTCCATCCCGTGGCCCTCCCTCCAGCTGGCAGGGCCCAGGAGGAGTGGGCTCCAGTCCTGAGCTCTGGCCTTCCATCCATCCCGTCCCTGAGAGTCAGGGTGTAGGTGGGGAGCTGTCCTGAGCTGGGCACAGAACAGCCAGAACCATGCGTTCAAGCCCTTGCCCCTGGGACCAGGGTCTTGTGGGATTAGGAGGCCAGACTGCGGGGTATTGAAGTCAGGCAGCCCTGACATGCTAGCTTATCACTCATGTAGCCTTGGACAAGTGACCTGGCTCCTCTGCAGCTTAATTTCATTATCTATAAAATGGGGCCTAATAATACCATCTAATGCAAGGTTGCCACGAGTGCTGATTTGTATGTGCTAGGTCAGCAGGCTTAGCACAGAGCCTGGCACCTAGTAAGTGTTCAGCAAAACAGAGCCACCCTTCTCGTTGTACTGAGTGAGCTCTGGCCCAGACCTCTCCCTGATAAGCTGTGTGACCCCAGAGAGGCTACCCAGGCTACTCGGCTCTTCGTCTGTAAGGTGGGAATTAAGAGCATTGATGTGGATGACCTCAGGCTTAGCGGGGTGGTCAAAGAAAACCCACGTATTGCTAATCTTACTTCTCATAGAGGTGTTGATGTGGACCTAGTAACCAGGGAAGGAGGTGCAGGCCATATCCACGACCATACTAGGCTCTTGTATTATTTTATTTAAGCCATGGATGTATATCCCCATTGTATGGATGAGATTCACAAATATCTAGGCAGTGATGGGATTTAGCTAAATTTAGCCCCAAAGCTGTGGAATCTCAAACCTGCCCTCTTTTTCTACCGACTCCCCTAAGTCACATTCACCATGCAGAGGCCACAGGGTGGCCCAGAAGCACGATTCACCAACCTCCTTCCCTAGTAGCTGCTTGATGAAGCTCTCCAGTCTAGATGGGATATGGCTGGGGCCTGATGAACATAGTAGGTGAGGTCAGCCCCAGGTCATACTGACCAGGAGCTTCCCCAGAAGGCATATCCTGGAGTCCCCTCTGCACCACACTCGCTTCTGGGAACTAGTCTGGAAATGGCCCCTCACCTGTGGGCCTTGATACCTGGGACTTTGACACCTGGAAACCCTTGAAGGGGCAGGAGGCAGGTGAGTGGGTGATAAAAAAATGCAGGAACACAGGCCAGTGCATTCCTGGGCTCAAGGCCAGGCCGGTCTCGGCTTCGCCAAGACAAGGGGTCAGCCAGCAGGTCTTGGGAGGGAGCTGGAGCTGGTGAGGGTTGTAGTGTGCAGGGGGGTGCCAGGCTGTCCAGGCTGGCCTGGGGTGGGCTTCTCCGGAAGGAGAAGGAATGTTCTGAGTGCTGATGAGGACTGTGTCAGCTGGGCAGGTGGAACAGCTGTTACCATCCGCTGGCCGCGTGACCTTGGACGAGCCAGTCCTTTCTCTGAACACTGAATTCATAGGGTCCCCTCAGAGGAAATCCGGGTGGATCAGAAGCTGGTGGATTGAACTCTGCGGTGCCACTGGGCACATCCTTGCAGCCCACTGGCTGGGAGGCATGGTCTCAGCTGTGTGAGACAGAGAGATATGTCACCCAGTAGACACTCTGCCACCCACCGGGGTTGCCAGCTTGGGCTGTCCTCGTGGGCTTTGGGGAGACAAGAGTGTGGCCTCACTTCATTCAGAGCAAGGATGCCCCTGGATCTCTCACCCCTAGGCTGGGCCTTCCCCCAGGCTTTCCAGCTCTTGCCCTTAGCACAGACTGTTCTGCCCTCTACACTACCTGCTTCACCTCTTCCAGTCCTGTGGGGTGGACTTTCTTTTCTCAAACCTGCTTCCTCCACGATGCCCTCTGGGGTTACCAAAGGGCTGCCGTGGGCTTGGACTACTATTATGTTTATGTGCCTGTCATATATATAAGTTTTCTATTACAAGATTAATGCATGCAAAATTAATGCCTGGTTTTTATAACCATTTGAACATCACGGATCCCATAAGGAATTCGTGGTCTCCTTTCCTTTTACCCCAGTGCCAGTCTGCCTGAGAAATGGAGACTGAATCATTCCATCAACATTACATTTGTCCATGTCAGTGACTTGGCAGTTAATCATGTCACCCTGTGACATCGCTCGTACTTTTATTTTGATTTGTTTTTCCAGTAGTTGCTGTCTAGCTTCGTTTCAACTCCCCGTGCACATGGGAAACCCTTTGGACAGGATCTGTGTCTGACCTGCTT